GTCCAGCTTTCTCCCGACATTTCTCCTGTCATTGCTCGAAAGTCCTCTGGAATCTCACCCTTTAGAACAGACTTCCAGGCCACATTTGTAACCCCAGCACTTTGGAGGCCGAGGGAGGAAGAACTGGAGTTCAAAGCTACCTTCTGGTACATAATGAGTTTGAAGCCACTCTATCTGCTCTATGAAGTAGACCTTGTCCGTCCGTCTTCTTCATGACTGTATCCCCAGTTCCCAGCACAGTGTCTGCCACATAGTGTTTAAAATAATATTTCCCACTTTAAGTACTACATAGATTTTTTCCCTCCTTTACTTTGCCTAAATTATTTAAATGACCTCCCCTGCTCCAACCTCGGTGTGAACGTTCACACTTGTAATCCCAGAGTTTATAGACTGAGCCAGTGGGGCTCCAGGCCAGCCTTAGCTACAGTCTCAAAATAAAGAAAGGATCTGGGCATGGTAGCCCATGCATTTAATTCCAGCACTTTGGAGGCAGAAGCAAGAGGTTATCTGTGAGTTCGAGGCCAACCTGGTCTACAAGGCAATTTCCAGACCAGGCAGGACTACACGAGACTCTCTCTCAAACAAAAAGATATTCCTAGACTGTCCATTTCATGTGTAGAAAAAACAATGGTCTCATCTTTATCTCTTTTTCCATAATGGAAAGTTTAGGGTTGGGCTGGGGCCAGAAGGTATTATCTCATTGAAATTCCAGTTTTTTCTTGGATCAATCAGTAGCAGTTGATTTCCTATTTTGCTTTTCTTTTCATGGAGCCCAAATAAAAGTTGTGATGGCAGAAGATGAATCCTCTCTCCTAAAGACTAAACTGTTCCTCTCCCTGACCCTAAGACTGGCTAATTGAGACCAGGCTGAGCAAAGCCAGCGGTAGTGTCCCTTGGGTCTAGGTGTCTTCAACTTGAATACGGTGCTTCTGACTGCCATTGCCTTCAGTTTGCATCTACTTCAGTTCCCTTTTCTTTCTTTCTTCCTTCCTTTCTTCCTTCCTTTCTTTCTTTCTTCCTTCCTTTCTTCCTTCCTTCCTTCCTTCCTTCCTTCCTTCCTTCCTTCCTTCTTTCTTTCTTTCTTTCTTTCTTTCTTTCTCAATTTATTTATCATGTATACAGTATTCGCCTGCATGTATGCCTGCAGGCCAGAAGAGGGCACCAGATCTCATTACAGATGGTTGTGAGCCACCATGTAGTTACTGAGAATTGAACTCAGGACCTCTGGGAGAGCAGCCAGTGCTCTTAACCGCCGAGCCATCTCTCCAGTCCTTCAGTCTCTTTTCTGATCCCACAGCTAGAATAAGTCCTCTAGAACAGGGTCGCTAATTCAAATGCTGAAGGAGACGGGTTGATCATGTGATTGTCTAGGGAACTGAAGGCAGTAGCCATCTACAGGCCAAAGGTTTGAGGTGCATAGTAGGCCCCAGTGTTTCCTAATCTTCAGAAATCTACTAGACTTTGTTGAGAAGAGGGGGTTCAGTGGTAGTAGGAGGAGATAAGAGAGGATAATGGGGTTCATGTAACCAAAATGCATTATAAACATGGATGAAAAGTGAAAATGTAGGTCTGTGGTGGAGAGCTTGCTTCACACATGGAGAGCTATGAGCCCATGTGCCAATGTGAGCTAAGCTGACCTGCCTGTGGATGAGGGAGGAGCCCCTCCAGGAGAAGAGGCATGTGGAT